AAAGCGTTCATCCCGTGACCGCGACTACGTTCGGCGACTGGCTGTCGTCTCGAGCCCAAGCTCGTTATCACAAATCTCAAACAAATACAATCGGATCGAAAGACGACAATTGTTTAATTACGACTATGATAGAATCTAGATTACGGTGTTAGGGAATTATCCCGAAGTTCCAAAGGAGAGGCTTCGATGTCCTTTCATCTCCGACATATATTAGATAATTTGCTCGACCGTTCGCGGAGAGACGCGATCGCGGAGGAGACGCGTCAACGGGAGTCGTAAATTCCCGTTACAATTAGATCATCGACGCCACGAACTGATCGACCCTCTATTTCAGTTAGGATAATAAAGATGGTTGAATTAGTATAACACTGAGTTTAACAGGTTATAATATACACTTTAATCCAACAACTAGTTTCGCGGAGTATACAAATGTTCGGAGAGACACGCGGGTTAAGTTACGATGTCGAATTGTAATGTCGTTTACAATAAGATTAGAAGTGTTCGACTCGAATAGTTATTAGCAAGACCACGATGTTAATCGTAGTAGGAGCAACTTGCAAGTAGTGAGTTACGGTATCGCGAGAAGTATAAATCGCAAGTAAGATAGAACCGAGAGATGGGTTCAGCGAGTAAGCGACTTGTAGACTGATCTAAGAATGTAAAACCAGTCAAAAGATGTTGACTGTTCTAAAGATGGAAAATCAGTAAAGTTCGGAGACGATGCCGTGGCGGAGGAAAGCTAGCGATGGGTGTGTCTAGCGCACGGGACCATCGGATTTGTTGATGAGAATTTTGGCTAGGAAAGTGAGGGCAATAGTCATTGCTTTTGATTGGATAAGAAGAAGGTTGGTGGACAAGGAAGGGTCTTAGCCGCCCACGAGAAAAAGTTGCTAGCGGGAGATACCGAATATGAGAAAAACCAAATTTCCCCGATCTTCCCGTAGTAGACAATAAATTTAAGGAGCACTTGAAATAAAAGATATTTGTTTAGTCTGAAGGACCCTAACTATAAAAATACCAAGATTTATGGTGGGTCCTTATGACTATTGAGAGTACGCAGTAAGAGTGTGTAGACATCTGACTGCCATCTTGTCCGCGATGTGGAGCCTGGTTTGTGTAGAGTCATCGGACGTAACATAATTATATATTAGATAATATAAGAAAACTGAATCGTTCTCTTAATTCCAAGATAACCTGACTTTCCAATTGAAAAAGAATTCAATCGTTCTTAAAATCCAAATGTAAATTCAAAGTTAGCATCATATCGTTCCAACGATCCCCTAATGCAGAGGAGAATTCCCGCGATTGATGTACGAGAGGGCGCGCAAAGCTCTGGGACATAAAGTACCATATCAAATCATGTTCGGCCACAATTGCGATCTATCGGGCGCGCGTCAGGTATCACACCTTAGCCAGCGAATAATTTATCGCGATCCCACGAGCAGGCAACAATATAAGCAATTTCGCGCGCACAATACACCAGGCCTGCCATCCCTCCAATAAATATGAACAGAGTAGTAATAAATTACGAAGGACGATTAGAGCGGACTGGCGATAAATTAACGTGAACGCGCGCGCCCCCCTGGTGTATCAGCGTTGCATCTCGCGAGTGATCCGCTCGATCGGTTACACAGATTAATCCCTTTTTACTTTCGCAACACGCTTGAATGACCTACACATTTTTTTATCAACACTTATCAGTAGATAATAATAGATTCTTAGTAGGTATACCATACGTGTATATTAGTATAATATATTTACTATACACTATACAAGGTGATTGGTAACTGGTGGTACAAGCTCAAAACTGGAATGAAAAAATTAACAATCTGATGGAAAAAGTGTATACACAAAAACGAAATGTATATAGGAAGAATATTCCTTCTGGAATATTTTACTAAAATATAAAGTTAAAAACAAAGTTTGGTTTATATTCGGCTGATCCTCGTATATTAAGATAGTTAATATTACATCACATATTATGTATATGCAGTAGCATAATGAATCGGCATATAGATATACGTTAACGAAACAATAATTATATCATACTTTTAGATTTTGATTCAGAGATTACTTATTCAAAATCACAAGCCGCTGCAGGTCTTTGCAGTTGGGTGAGAAATATAATGGTTTTCCATTATATTAATGAAACAGTGAAACCATTAAGAGCTGCACCTGCACAAGCTAATGCCGAGTTAAAAGCTGCTATGGATCACTTGAATGCTTTGAGGACACGATTAGCGGTAAATTAATGTTCATTTCATTGCTTGTCATGATGTATAGATATATATAACGAAATTTTTTATATTATAAAAGTACATAATTTCGATGAACATGTATAACATCTATCATGTTTGCTTTGGAATTATGAATATATATACTTATATCAATATTAATCATAATTTTCTTTATTGTTTCTTTAAATTGTACGATTTCTCTTGGAATTATTTTTCCATGTTTCAAAAGGTGTAGTACAAAATGAATATACAGGGTGGTTGGTAACTGGTGGTACTACTGGTGGATTCTACGCGAAAAAAGAAGTCGAAAATATAGAATAAAAAATTTTTTTTTAATTTTTCTATCGAGACAACGATCTACAGTGAGATCCGTTATAACGAGACGTGATAAAGTGCACGCGTACCGAGCGAAACTTCAAAGTCGATTTTCTCGAAAACAAAGCCTCAAAAGAAAAATTTTTATTCTATATTTTCGACTTCTTTTTTTGCGTAGAATCACCCCCTTTCCGCTTCTACCACCAGTTACCAATCACCCTGTATATTTAATAGCAGTCGCGGAGATTACTAAAAGCCTCTAACTTAGTCGTCCCAGAGCCCATACTACTTTAAGAAAAATACATTTTATTTTAAACTGTATTTTAAGAATGTATATTAAAAAAACATTAAATATAACTCATTACGAAAGAAATTTTATTTCATATTTACATTAACTTATTTCATTTTAATGGTCTTCTCCTATCCCCCATTTTTCTATGAAAACAGCCTTCGCTGAATCAATAGTCTCTGATCTCAAAAACTTTAGTTCGGCTCTCATAGCAATTGATCGTTTGAATCTAAATTTCGAAATAATTCGTAGCTTCTCGATAGTGTAAAAGATCGATCGGCTCGAATATTATTCAGCAGTTAAATCCTTTCAAAGTCTCAATCAATGTTGAATATTGAATTTATACAAATTCTAAGTCTTTAAATTTTCGATAAGTCTTGAAAGTCCCAGAAGTTCATTGAATATCCAATATGCATTTTCTATGAGATATTGTATATTATATGGAAAGATTGAAGATTTTTATTGTATAATTTGCTAACTAATGCGCCACGTTACCGTACTGAAAAAGTATAAACTGCATTACCGCCAAAGACATGATCTGTGATATGCAACTGCGCTTGCAGAGGGCAGCAAGTATTTGGCATACAAAATAAAACAATTATAATAGTTACACTGCATCAATTAACAAATACTAACAGTGTATCCGAAGAATAGAAAAGCTTCATTTAATACCGCAGAAATATGAATTGATTATTTTTCTATCTCTTCACATTATATCATTAAATAAATTTTATATTACTTTTTATAATATAAAAATAACAAAAATACAGACGAAAATGAGAATCGCGATTTTAAGAATTAAAAAAATTTTTCCTTCGAGCCGGATTCGAACCAGCGACCTATGGATGTCTCCGAGAACCAACCAACTACAGTCCACCGCTCTACCAACTGAGCTATCGAAGGATTTACAAAAATGATGTATTTTAACATAAACAACTCGCTATGGAGTATTCAAGGTTATTTGATTATAATATATATATGAATGTATACAATATACACGTATAATACTAATTACTACATTTTTACCGATATATGAATATTAGAAAAAAATAAATGAACTTTTCGTACTTTGGAATTAATCGTAACAAGCAAAAAAAAGAATATTAAATACAATACACATAATTCTATAGAACATAATTATTATAATATGGAATATATGATTATAAAAACAAATATCACGCTAAATGTTTTTCAACTTTGTAAGTCTTTAAAGAAGGAAGTGATTGTGTATAAGTAAATCTAGATTACAGATAAACAAAGTTATCAAAAGAAAAGATAAATATCGATGATGTCAGGGAAGATGACAAAGAGACAAAGAAAATGAGACGTTTATACACTTCGTTCTGTCTCAAGGTTCAAGAGTGCTACATGTGTCAATAAAGTTAGATGACAATTAAAAAGTAAATGGCTGACAAAAGAATGTGTCGCGATTTCTAGATTATGAAGTAATTCCTGACAGAAAATAGAGAGAACGAAATAGTTTTACGATCACGAGAAGCTATATGAAATGTGTAGACGATTAATATAAATTAAATGATTGTTCGCAAATCGATGGGTAACCTAAAAGACACTCACCGACAATGCACGTTGGAATGCGTTGTCGACCGGATGGTAACCAAAATACTCCTCGACACCAACGTCCACAGAATCGTTTGACGAAGTTAACATTTATCGCAGGCTGGCGTCAGGTTTGCCAAACATTTCGCAGAACTTCAATGTACTTTTGTTTACACGCACCACACATCACACTTTTAATACCGAACGCCATTTGTCGAACGTTTCCGAACAAATTTTCACGACTGTCAAACGTGCCTCTAATTGCGTCGCGTGCTGCCATCTATACGACCCCTACGAGAATTTTGGATTTGAATATATTTTTCAATTATCGCGCTAAAAGAAATTAACCACGGAATATTTTAAATATTCTTCGTTCTATTAAATTTTGATACGTTATTGAAGGTTGAATGTTATTATTAAAAATTAATTGCATTATTAAGTATTAAAAATAGAAATCAGCGAAATTTAAAAATACAAATTATATACTAACATTATTAAAAATTAAATTTTATGCTTTAAAATATTAAATTACAGTAATATTGATCATTAATTCGTCTATTATTATATTATATACATACAGAACTTACAAATATGATTGAAAAAACGCAAAACTTTCTATGAACTGATACTTTATTAGCTTCGGAGAAGATATAGGTTAATGCAGATATGTATAAAGTTTTAACGAAGATCTGTTAACAAACTGCAAAGTTTCGTGTTCTGAAACGTTTTTCAACAGAATATTTATATCTTACGTACCATTTTTTAAGATATATGTATGAAGAAGACGCAGAAGCTTGTGATCAGATTCGATGACCGAATTCAAACTGTTAAATAATGGCTGAAAAGCATTTTGGCGCGATATATCGCCATCTTTAGTCAAATCATGACATTAAAATTAAAAATTTTTTTAAAATATTTGGATTATGTTTATATCTTTTCCCGATCTTTTTCCTTAAATAAGTTCAAAAATCAGCTTCTATTCAAGATCAAATTCTGTTACTGTGATACAATAAATTTTTGTTATTAATCATATTTTACGCTTACTATTATAAATGGCATTTTACTTTAATTTTTAAAATTTTTGTTCCAATTTAATTTAATATAAATGATAGAATTTTTATGATTAGATTTAAATCATTTTCTATTTTGATCTAGTATGGTGGATATCATGTATTACTTATCCTTATTATCAATATTATTCTATCAAGTAACTTTAAAAGAAGGGACTGAAACATAACCTAGAAAGTATTACATGAATATGAAATAGAAAGTATATATAAAAAGCTATATCTATGATGTTCTCCACTTTCTTATCTCTGCGTAAGACATGATAAAATGAGGTATAAAAACATGAAATGAATTGTTAAAAATTCATGTATAGTTAGTGGAAATAATTAGATGAATGTACAAATATCAAATGTAATTAGGAAGATAATAAAATGGAGCAAAATGTGATGATAATAAATACTCAAAATGGACAAATAAGAAGAAAAGAAGTGAAACCTTGGTTCAATGAACAAAATGTATACATAACTCAAGGTCTACCATTATCCCATCTGTTATCTTATAACAAATATCAAACCAACATAGGTAAGCAATGAACAAATAAACTTTGCATTATATAAATTAATTTTAGTTTACTTTATTCAAGATCTTTATTATTTCAGGTCTAGAAAATTTTTTAGATAATACATCTACAAATATTCAGTGGTGAAAGGATACATCTATTATGGGTTTAATTCCAATACCTGTTTATCAACATGATGCTATACCTTCAACGAATAACTCATTCAGAAGTAGTAAATAGCAATATTTATTGTGCATATCATTTTTTTATGCAATGACTTTATGAACTCCTACTTCTGTTACCCTATTAGATCTACCACTAAACGTTGAATTATTCAACTCATTAGGACAAACAGAATTAAATGTAGAGGAGTATGTACTGTCTAAAGAGGTGAAACAATCGAGAACTGTAAAAGAATATAAGAAAAACTATAAAACGTACAAAACATCCTGAGCTATGGAAAATGAATATAAAAAAAATGCTAGACTAAGAAGCAAAGAATATATTGGAGTTGGAGGTAAACCAACTCAATTCTAGAGAGGCTTTAAGCATAAAGCAAAATGAAATTCATATCAAAACCCTGTAATTCACAGGGAAAATAGTACCAGCAAAAACCATGGGACCTTCTTGAAAATGCTGCATGTGTTGCGCTGACAAAATAAACGAAGCTGCTCGGAGTTATAGCAGAAGTTATAGTTAATAACAACAACAAAGTTGAAGTCAACAACAACAGAGTCGAAATATACTTATATAATATAACGGATGCCTAGTGGAGTTACGGAACCAGACCAAAGAGGACAACTTACATCAAAAACAAAAAAAAGGGAACAGAAAAATCAACAGGTACGATGGATTATACAGGAAAGAAGTATCTAGATTCTAAGCTAAGTATAGCTGCTATGCATAAACTTTATGTACTAAAGTGTAAAGGAGATAGTATTCCAAAAAGCGACATAGTTAAAAAAGCTATTATAGAGAAATGTCTAAGTCAGAATTTAATCTTTTAAGTCAGAATTTAATCCTGGTTTTAAACAAGTGAAGTTTAAAGTGAACGTTTGACTACCAAATATTATTAACCACTAAATTAGAATTAGAATAAGTAATTAATTTCTGTACTTATACGTACAGAATCAAATTTTGAGATTATTTTTAAATATTCATAAATATTTTATATTTTAGGATTAGTACCGTGCCCTTTTAATATTATTAGTATAAAGAATGACATATCTTATATAAATATATTAAAGAATATTAAAAACTGTTTAAAATTTGTATGTTTATTCTGGCATCTAATTATTTACAATAATATATAATATGTTATTTTTAAAATATTATATAATATGATATAATGTTATAATTTGTATTATAATATCAAAAATTATATTTTGTACCATACTTTCTGTAGTATTCATAACACATGTCACTACGAAATTTCATTCAAGCAGAAAACGTTTGCATTCTTATTTCATTTATGCTAAAAGGATAAGCGTAAAAATGTTATTAAATACAAGACATATTTATGTACACTTTATACACTTCAATTACAAAATATGCTACTATGAAAAAATAACAGATCTATTACTTTCAAGCGCGTGGCTTTAAATATACAACAATAATTTTAACATTTACCAATTTAAAAGAATTATGTACAATATATACAAAGTATCTTTTAAAAATTACGTTACATATTTCTTATAAAACGCGATGTCGATGAAAGTACAAATGAAAATGTACTTACTAGATGCAAAGCGTCATTACTATGATTTACTTTCTTTTCTATGACATTAAGGATTACTAGAATACTTTCCTTGTTTCTTAGTTTCTTCATCAACTACATCTATTTCTTTACCGTTCAATCAATCTAATTTTTCTCTAAAAGTGAACTAACTTCTTTACATCTCTTCGTTGCTGCTTCAACTGCTCCAATTACAGCTGATCTCAATCCATGTTGTTCTAAATAATGTATTGCAGTTATAGTAGATCCTAATTAAAATGCAAACAAATAATTAGTAAATAAGAAATGCACAAAGCCTATTAGAAAATACATTATATAATATTAAACATATGCATGATTTTTCCAAACCTGCTGGTGACGCTACATCATCTTTAAGTTGTCCTGGATGTATTTTCGTATCTCGAACCATAGTACCAGCACCAAGAACTGTTTGTGCAGCTAGCATATACGCGGTTGGTCTCATAAGACCCATTTTTACGCCTCCATCGGCCAAAGCTTCTATCATCATATATACCTACATTTATAAAAAATATATTTCTGTATTCGTCTTCTATTATAAACATTAATATAAATGTTTGAAAATATATCAAGTTTTTGTTACATACATAAGCAGGTCCCGAACCCGCTAAAGCTGTAACGGGATCAATTAAATTTTCAGGTACTTCTTCGCATAAACCCACAGAGGAAAATAATTTTTCTGCTATTTTGGCTTCTTTATCGCCGGCATGTTTTCCACGAGCGTATACCGTAGCACCGCAACCTACAATGGCTGGTGTATTGGGCATTACTCTGATTACCGGTGTTCCGTTTGGCACAGCCTAGCATTAAAGTTGAAGTTGGAAATTAAAAATTTTTAAATAATAAAATGAGCAAGATCAAACTAAAAGAATGAAAAAAATAAAAATTGATTTTTATTCAACTTATTAATATTATTAAAAGTTTGGCAATGAGAAAGATTAAACTTTACCTTTTCTAACGACGCTAATGGAATACCCATAGCAATGGAAAGTAAAAGTTTTCTGTAATTTTTTAAATCCGGAAGGACCATCGGAACAACTTGTGGTTTTACTGCTAAAATCAAAACGTCCCCATAATCAACAACAGGTGCATTTGAAAATACAGTATTTGATCCAATTTCCTGGAATCGCAAATTAATTAAGCTATTAATAATGTAGCATGCAAATCAAAATGCTTTAAGTAACTAATGATATTTAATACCAACACATCGATAAATGCAAAAGATTAGAGATAAACTAAACTGTATGGTCATAATATAAATTATATATAAATAATATAAATTATCGCAAAGCAAAGATAAAACAGTAAAATATTGGAAATTTTCCTACAATTAATATTGTAATCGAAACTGAATCAATAACTGAAACAATAACGAAATCGAATCATTATCTATATATCTTGGAATGCAATGATAATAAACTGCTACGATAAAAAATTATTATTTTCACCTTAAATGCATCTATACTGCCCACGTCATTGGGGAGACAACTGGCCAGCATCATTTCACCTTTGCTCAACCCTAAAATTTACACAAATGATTATATTAGATTATATCTGAGGTCATTTTAATATTTGGATACTATTATGTAACATATAAATTATTCTATATACAACAACTTATATAAATAGTTTCCTTACCACCTCGAATGAAACCTTTGGCCAAAGCCTGAGCCATCTTACCGGCTCCTATAAATCCAATCTTCAACATTTTTGTGTCGATATTCAATGCGATCTCTTCTGCGTTTCCCGTCGGCAAGAAGATGATCACTCACTGCACAGAAAAAAATCTTTCAGTAGTAAAACGCAATGTTGTGAAAATACGTTACAATTTACGTTCATAATTTTCATTTACACGCTCATATTAAAAAATCAGTTAGAATATTAAGGTTCAAAATGGAAATTTTTGTTTGATCAAAAAGGCTGTCTTTTTTATTCAAAGAAAACTACGATAGATCCATATCTAATAATTAAAACTACGAATTGAAAAGTGTCGCATCTGAAGTCGGAGTTTTTAATTTGCGCAATACAAAGATTAATACCGTTCGATCGCGATATTTACAAGCAAATCAGTACGCTTCTGATTCTCGTTTCTCGCCCCATCTTTCTCAGTACATAGATGATTTCAGTAGTTTTTTTTCTATGTAATTATGAACGAGATAAGGTCCTGTGTACGCAATACATTTACGTTCATTACTCATATGCGACGAACGTAACGTGGGTAATAAACTTCTTGAAATGCTTCTAAAATGTGGTTTCACTGGTAAATTGTTGGATATTTCCATTCATCTTTCACAGAAAAATTACAAAATGCTATAATTTGTCCTTCTATTGCGATTTAGGACAGCTAAAGGTTTCCTATAAATCTCTCTTACATTTTGGTAAACGAGCAACGTATTACATAAATGCCACACAAATTACTTTCAATGAGATGCATTTCAGTGTAAATAAAATGGTACAAGTCATGTTCCATTTTGCATCAGCATACATTATACATTAAAAAGTAAATTAATCTCAAAACATGTTAACTGATGAAATTATGAATCGAATATTAACATTAGGTAATGCAAAACATCGAATATTAACATTAAGTACAGCAATATCATCCTATATTTATTGAGTTACTACTGAAATGATTTAAACTAATGACATTTAAATTAATTTATAAACTTCGATATTCGAGATTTGTCACATTAGAACACATATAGCATATTAAATTACATAATTATTTCAACTAGCTATGTTAGTAATTTTATCAGTAATAATAATCATAAATGACGATAATAATGATCGAATAAGTTTAAAGAAATTTTATATAAAATTTATAATTTTTAAGTTACAAAATATCTTTGAGCAAAAAGAATAACTTGCTAAATCATTCTTTGCTTTAAGCAATATGATTATATTTTCTTTAGATTTCTAGTCACATTTCTGGACTATAGTCAAGTGCCGTTACGTGCACGCACATTACGTAATTTAACTTGATTTCATATATTGTATTTTTATAATTCATTCTCATCCTCCAAAGTATTGTTTAATTTTTTTGCTTGGAACGAACATAATTAATTAAATGATGTAAATGAAAATGAGTGACTCTGCTACTCACCTTTTCGGGCGTTCAGGCGCTGTCGAACTCGTCCTAATCTTAGATGCTCCGTTGTTTTATATCCGGTAGTCATTGCCCTTCTTTTCTCTTCTTTTTTTCACTGATGAGCTTAGAAAGTAATTACTAGATGCTAGATGTCGTTGAAATTAAATGTATGGCGCCACGATAAGCTGCAAGCAAACATAATTGTTGATAAATCTCAAATTTTTGTTTACATCAGAAATTTCTCGAATGCAATACGCATAAATATGTATTTTATGACTTGGAAGTACGTTGCAATACGCATAAATATGTGTTTTATGACTTGGAAGTACGTAATTAGTAGACTAGGCGAATATTTCTTTGTTTACAGAAAATTTCAATATATGCATATAACATGTAGGAATATATACATTACCTAAAGCATTTATTATAATATTTAAAAGATGAAAGAAATATCTATTTAAGTTCTACTTCTTTAGTTGTATTTGTAAAATTCTGCACAAATATCTGCAATCTAATGATAATTAGTAATCAAAATTTCAAAGAAATAAAACACGAATATACTATGAAAATTAAGCACTGTTTTACATTTAATCAGTTTAAAGCAATTTAAATTTTAAACTAATTAATACATTCTAAGGTAATTGCTTTTTTGATGCATAACATACGATTAAATTAGCAACTCTAATAAAATATAATAATCTATTTCGTGAACATGCAAGTGTAACTATGCATGAAAATATCTGAACGGATGCAAATATAAATTCTTAAATAATTATCGTATCAAGTGTATAAAATATTTGTAACGATTCCAAAAATAAATGATACCATATTAAACAAGTATTAACATACAATGAAATATAACGTTACTATTTAAAAAAAAAGCCAAAAATCGTGTACGTGCGAAGAGACACGTAACGCGTATAACTACTAGGAACTAATTAGAACTAGGAACTAGGAACTAATTGTAATATTCAATTAATTTTTATAACTTTTCTTAAAAACATAATTGTTAGAGTTATTTAAATTGTTTTACATATTATATAAAAGGATACTTAACTGACTTACATTCTGTAGAAAATGCTCCGTTATAATCTTCTAATGTAATGATATCTTACTGTAACCGGCGATATGATTGTCCTGTTTGTAGTTGTGTACAGTGTTTAATATAGATCCTGTCTCTTCCGTGACTTATATACCAGCATGAAACATCGTGAGAAACTGAAATACGACTAACAATTATTGTTCATCAACTGATAAATGATTATCAAATTTCTACACTATGCAATTTCCTGTTTGCATTTGAAAAGATCCTTTGTAACTAATATTTGTATATTAATTATCCTAATTGAACGAACAAAATTATATATACTGAATTAACAGGTATAAATTAATGTTTATTCCAACAACTTTGTAAAGAAGGTAATTACACTAATGCGTATGTACAAGTTAAGTAAGTGATTGTTTTAAGGAGAGAAACTCGTTAATGACATGTTGACTATTCTAGCGATGAAGAATAAGTGAGGTAAAGTGACGATGCTGTATCGGAGGAAAGCTAGTCGTGGGTGGATCTGCAAGGAAGAGCTGATTTGTCAAGGGCAAGGTTTCATTGGGAGAGTGAGGGAAAGACTTCGCTGTCAATTGGTTCATTTTCTAGGTTGGTTAGGTGAGGAAGGGTGCGAACCGCCCCGGAGAGAGATTTGCTAGTGGGAAACATCATACGTGAGAAAACTAACTTTCCCGTAGTAACACTAAGCTTTAGAAACGATTCAGTAAAGAGATGTTCAGTAAGAATGAGCGGTCATCTGGTTCCCAACTTGCCCGCGGTATGTGGCCTGGTCTAGGTAGAGTGTCGCCCGACGTAACATCCTCCCCCCCGTTGAGAGGGTACCGATCAAAATTTCTACAAAGGTAGAATTAATTGGAGCTGCCGCCCAACTCTTTGTTGATTGCTGGATCGGGTTGGCTCGATAGTAGGACGAGCTGCGTGGGGAGCACGAGGCGGCTACGGGTTCTCAGGGCGTTAGACCACGCCCTGGGTAACCCTGATGAATCTGATATTCTCCTATAGCCGGATGGTGACTGGTCGGCGCCTTTGGCCCCCGCCAGTTTGCCGATCCGGTGCGGAGAACTTCGGAGAAGTTGGTGGGCCCGTATCTGCCAAGACCACTCACCTCACCTTCTTGTGGGACTCCCCGTCAACATGCGCCGGCTTTGGCGTGATGGGCGACCGTCCGTTGGGTGCGCGCGGGCCCATCGGCCCATC